CGCGCGCAGGCGCGGGGTGGTGTCTTGCCCCACGCTGGGCGGGCGCTTCTGCTGGTTGCAGGCTGAGTCGTGCTTCGCGTAGAGCAAGCGCAGGGAGGGTTGCGTTGCCTGAGGTGCGGTGTTCCTGCGCGCGTGGAAGAGGGGAGCTCTTCTTGCACCAGCACACTTTCACTGCGCTAGTATAGGCCTGCTGGTCACATCAAATCTGTAAGGCATCCCCAGCGAGGGTGCCTGGTTACCCCTCATGGGTTTGTTGGTCGTTGCGTTCCTCTTTTTAGTATTATTAAGCAGCCCAGCGTTAGGTAACCCGCTGACCAGACAGGCTTCCTGCTGCTGACCCTGCTAAAAGCTGGTGACTGGGATGTGCTAGGGCTGCGCTGTTAGAACTGTATCATCCTGAATAAATGGTTGCTAGAAAAAGAATATCAGGCTGGGCCCTGGAAAACATATTGAGACCAGAGGCTCTTGTAAGAGTTGAGGAAAGTACTAACAATCTTCTTTTACTCTCCTTAATGTGTAGGACATAGGTGGTTGGCCTTAATAAACAGGGAATTTGTTGCAGATGTTGCATCAGTGATTCCAATTAGTATTTAAGTGGAACCTAAAGCCTCAGTATTTATACAAAGCAGATCAGAGGTTTTTTTATGAGATAACTAGTTCCTGGACAGATGAATGTTTCATAGATAGAAACTAATATTTGCAGTTTGCTGTTATCACTGAACGTACAACATTGTCAAGATGGAATGCAAATAAAATACCTCACAACAGTTTTCCACATTTACAAGTTAGCAAGTCGCACTGGGTACCAATTAAATACTTTAACTAGCATTTGTTACCAGTACTAAGTACATGGTCTGTATTAGTTTTGCTTTGTTAAAGTTTCAAGGTTACTTGCACTGTAAGCCCTTCCTTTCAGTTAAACATCAATGGAAGGGCCCTTTAAGTGATTCCTCCCTGAGTTAAGTACTTTCAGACAATTTTTAGACTCTGTTAGGATGGAGGAAAACTACGGTGTCTTCGGCTCTGTAATAGGATAAAAAAGCCTGCATGGAAGTTCAGAATTTGTTTTCGAGAGTACACTGTGAGGATGATGGCTGCATCTCGAGAATGGATAAGACTTCTCACTGCTTGAAAATAAGCCTTAGGAATAGCACAGTCTTTAAAAATGTCGCATGACAGAGGTCTTGAATGCTGAGGAAGAACACAGGGAATATATTCTAGTTGACAGGTTTGTTGATTGGACACACTATGTATAGTGAAAAGTATGACATAGATGCTTACAATTGTAGAAGCAATTAGGATTTATCTACAAGAAGAAACTCACCAGCAAAACTACCCCAGTATAACTCAACGTGTGTGTAACAACAGTGTCTATTTCTAATTAGTTTGGTGTGAAAACTGTTTAAATTAAAAGAAGCTGTCCTTTTCTGGAGTAAGGCTGGTCAAACAGATATATTGATAGCTATGTGGATAAATTATCTTGTGTAGATGTGGCTTTCCTTGTGTGTATAGGAACAGTAGCTAGAAAATTGATCTCTTAGAGATGACGAAATAGTAACAGATTAGCGCAAGTTATCATTGCCCCCAAAAAAAGTTTAAAGACAAAGAAAAAGCAGAACTGGTAGATGAAGCATTGGTCTTACATACAGCTTCTTTTGTTGCCTAATTTGTTTTTTAAATTAAAAAAAAATTAATGGAACTTGAAGGCTGAAAATTGAATACGGAGAAAGAAAACACAGTAAGGAAACAAAGTCAAATGCTGCATTGAGCTACAATGCAGTACATGTGTACTGTGTTGCTCCCATGTAGTGGCTTGTGCTACTGTTCTGGAAGCCCTATTCAACATTCATTTGTAGCATGTGCTAAAACAGAGCTGTATTGTGTTGCACTAATGTAAATCTAAAACCTCTTCAATATTTTTCACAGAGCACTTCAGGATTTACACTCACATAGCTAAGAATAGAACTGGAATGCTATAAATAACACTTAAACTAAGTTTATGTTGTTAAAAATGATGTTCTCCTCCAAGAGAACATTTTCCGTAAATTTTATGCATATCTCATTGCTGGAGCTGCCATTCTACTGCAGAAATGCTGTCAGTTCAAACTGACCTTAAAAAAAATGCATTCAAATAAATTACTCTCAAGTGTGTTGTTATATGTGGTTTTAATTGGGACTACTATGGTGTATACAGTATTTGCCGGCTTGTCTCTTAAAAGACTATTCAAGAAAGGAGGGCAAATAGGCCTATCTGGGGTGCCATAAAACGTTAGGCAAACAGTTGTTTTGTTTTACAGAGATTGATTTGGTTGAGCTTTATCAGCTATAGCTCTGTAGGCATTCACTTGCAACTGCACAAAATCCACAAATCCTGGCCCTTGTTATGATGCCTGTAATGTTAATTAACAGGTAGGTGTAGTAATTACTGATCTTCTGAGGCTATTTCTAGCTATTCGTTTTTAGCTTTAAAACGCCTTAAGTTCCTCAGGGCCATTACGGCAAACCACTGTTTTAACGCGGATGAGCCACCAGCCCTGTCTCCTACCCTTCCCCCAAAAAGGGGGTTACCCCGTCAAAAGCGGGGTCACCACAGGGAGCTCTCGAGACGCCGCCAGGAAACGCTCCAGGAGCGCAGGAGCTGTTCCTACAAGCGGAGCCGACCGTTTCGGGAGGCCC